CCCGAAAAATACCCCTGACGGGGAGGGGACGGTATTTGAAAATCAATTCCCGATCTGTTTCGGGCCGGGGACGGTGATCAGTGTTCAAGCCCCGGCCCGGCCCCGTCCCTGTCCCCGTCCCCGGTCCCATCCCCGAATTTTCCCGAAATAAAATTACATTTATACCCTTTATATTTATATTATATGCATATATATATATAATATATCTGTGTTGTTTTTTTTTATGTTTTTTTGGAGGAGCTGTGTTGTTTTATATCTCTTACTCTCTAACCTGTTTCTGACTCTCATCTCAACTCTCTTTTTTTTTTTGATCGGAATCTCAGCTCTCTCTTTCACTCTCACTCTCTTTTTGACTCTCATCTCAACTCTCACTCTTAACTCTCTCGTTTCTCATGGCCACCACCACCGTAGGTTCGAGCCCACTGCTACAGCCGCAGAGGTGTACTCAGATCTAACAGATCTGTTCTCTCTCTCTCTCTCTCTCTCTCTCTCACTCTCTCTCTCTTTGTGATCTGATCATTGTCGCCGCTGCATGATCATCAATCGTCGCCGCTGCATACCCTGCCATCGTCGCCGGCGAAGAAGTATGGGGTTTTAGCTCCGCTGTAAGACGACTCTCTCTCTCCCCCTATATTCTCTCTCTTCATTTCAGTTCTAAATCTAAAGCGTTTTTCTTCGCCATTTCTCAGATCTGAACCAGATGGTGAAAGAAAATGAACCAGATCTGAGGGCTTGTACATTTTTAATGATTGTTGATGATTGAACCAGAATTTTTTTTTTTATAAGTTGTTGATGATGAAAAAAATGGGTCGGGGATATTTCAGGGTCGGGGAAACCCGCTCCCCGTTGGGGGCGGGGATGGAGACGACGGTTGGTTCCTCGTCGGGGATCGGGGCCGGGGCCGGGGTAGGTTCCCCGTCGGGGATCGGGGCCGGGGCCGGGGAGATATTCACAATCGGGGATCGGGGACGGGGAGGGTTATCCCGGCCCTACCCTGCCCCGTTGCCATTCCTATTGCCCTCTTGTTCATCAAAGTCAAGGCTAATCTCTCTGTCCCGAGAACAGCACGCCAGTCTGCTTCTCATGATCATCATCTTTTCTTGCACCCTAGTTGATCTTCATAGCAAATTTTCAGCAAAACCCAGATAACTGGTCTGGTATATTCCAAAAGCTATGGCTATGCACCACCCCCTCACTGCTGGAAAATACACATTTAGCAGCGTTTTATAGGTGTAAAAAATATCGTTTATTTTTTTTGTGACGTTTAGTACCAAACATTGATAACGCAACCGTCGCTATAACTTTACGACGATTGGAAAACATTGTTATATTAGTATAGGCGGCGTTTTTAATTTTAAAAATGCCTCCAAATGCCCTATCCTAACGTACTATGACGTCACTATAGTTTTAGCGACGTTTTTAAAATGCCATCATAGGTTTTTTTAATTTTAAAAATTCTAACCGTTAGTATGATAGTGACATTTTTATTTTTAAAAAATGTCGTGTCTTCTTTCTTTTTTTTTTTTGAAATTGTGCTAATTTTATGTGATTGAACTAAAAGAATACCTAAAATAAAACTGAATAACACTAATATGAAATAATAATTTCCATTCAAATAGCAAATGCAGCATTAATTCATTTTCCCATTCAATTTAATATCCAATCACCTTTACCCACAAAATAACATATCCAAAAATTAAATTCACAATTCTCAATGAAAAAATTACTACTTTGTATACAAAGCCACAAAATAACATTATCCTCTTCTCTCTCTCACCACTTCCCCGTTTAACACAAAAAATAAGAAGAAAGTGAACAAAAACACCCAACCCCCCAGTCAGATCAAAGGAAAAAAGAAAAGAAAAAAAGAATAGAAATAATAATCTAAAGGAAAGCCCCATACCCATCCATCCTTCACCGTCATTTTGAATCGATCTCCGTGCTGCTTCCCATGGCCTCAATCCTCTCGGTCTCTGCCAATCATAAAACATAATAATAATAATAATAAAAACAAAGCCAATAAAAGATGTGCAGTGAATAGATAACAAAAATAAATATGAGAAGTTCAAGTTACTGAATGTTATTTTAAATAGTCACATTAGGTTAAATTAACCTTGGGTATTTCAAACTATTAGAAAGTACGCTATTTTAAATAGTCTACCCAACAATGCCTTTCACCACACCAAGAGAAAGGCCAACTGACTCTAGCACAGATCCTTGTTCAATATGAAGCTGAAACAAGAAATTAACAGAATAACAATATAAGAATTCACAAAAAAAAATTTACGTTTGGTTTCATAAGAATTCAGGTCTGCATATAAACCGCCAAGGAAGAATAAATCAACATAATTCAGATAAAAGTAAAATAATGAGAAGCATCTAAGTGCAAGAGTATAATTAAATTATGAAGGTAGAAATTGAAATAGAAGAATAGTTACAAAATTTTATTTATAACGAGTGAAGGAAGGGTAATAAAAGAGCAAGGTATAAGCTTGACCACATGGTTTAGATCATCACAAGAACTTGTTAATAAGAACAGAAAAATGAATGTGACAATGAGAAAGAAGAAAACAAACACAAAGCTGACATTATAGAGAACAACAAGGTTAAGAAATATAACCTTAGCTAGTCCCTCCCCTTCATTTTCTGCTAGAGTCTTTGTGTTAGGCTTAAAACTTGTCTTGGCAACACTTATCTCAAACCCCTCTATTTCAGCTTTCTCTCTCTCGCTTGAGGCTGCAAAATTTTAGCTGTTAGTCAACTATAGGTAAATTACAAGAATATGGTGGGTAAGCTTTTTTATTTCACTATCCAATAAGAACAAAAGAGAGAATAAAAATGCACACATCCCTTTTTATTTATTTTATTCTATTTGTAGATTTGGTATGAGAATTAGAAAATTTGATATTCACCTCTGTGTTAGAATGGCAATAAAAACAATACCCAATGGTTATTGGGGATATAACTCAAAAATGTGGATTTTCCTTATTTTTCTATCCATTAGGTTAGTAGGTGATCTAATTTAATTCCCCATCGGGGAATGGGTCGGGCTCATTTCTCCTTATGTTTTGACATCCTGTTTACAGCTAGGGTTTTCTCACTCTCTCTCACTCCCACACTCCCACTCCAGATCAGACCTGTTTACAGCTAGGGTTTTCTCACTCTCTCTCACTCCCACACTCCCACTCCAGATCAGATTTCCAGCACCGAAAGCAGCTAGATTTCTAGCATCGAAAGCAGCTAGAGATCAGAGTTCTCCGGCGATCTCGTTGGCGCTTAACATAGTTCTCCTGCGTGGTGAGTTCTATCTCTCATTTCTCTTTCTCTTTCTCTTTCTCTATCTCTCTCTCTCGTTCTCTTTTTGTTCTTCGACTATTTTTGCTTTGTTTTTGGGTCTGATTGAGAAACCCATATGGGCAAATACCTAGTTGAGGATTGATTTTTCGGGTTAATTTATTTTTGCATGTTTGTAGATGCACTTATGAACATGTACTGATGAATTAGCTTGCATGCAATGATTAAGAACATTGTGGGTTTTTCTTCCCTTTTCTCGGCAACCAAACAGGGACCTGGGGTTGTTATCTCTGTGACCTGGTCTTTGTTTTACTGTCTTTCACATGCATTGGAATGATGAAAATGTACGAATATAGTATAATTAGATGAAAGATTATGGATTTTTTTCTCAACAAGGAAACAGATTAACTCGGATTTTTATCTTTGTGAATCTCTGTTCTATTATTTTTCTGACCATCATGATGATAGAGGGTTAATAATTGGTTGGGTAGTTGAAATTGGAGATTACAATTCATGGAATTGTAGAATTAGATGAAAGATTATAGACCTTGTCTTATCTTTCTTACTCTTTCTCAGCATGAAAACAGAGTAACTAGGGAGTTTCATCTATGTAAATATCCCCAAATTCCCCTCTTTCCCAATTCATATTAGCTGCTTAATTTGAGATCTTTAGTGTATTGTTTTTTTATGGGTACCTGAAAAAATGGCAAATTTTAGTTGGAAAATAGCTTATTTGACAATTGAAATTCTTTGTTATTTTATTTTATTTTTAACATGTGGTTGTTGATGAACACACTATGTGATTGATAGTCATTGTATTTAATGTGTCAAAACCAAAGACAAACAATTAACCTATATTCTCAAAGTTTAAAAACAACATATAATCAACTCGAGGTTTTTCAATGATTATGTGATATTGTAGTGTTGATTGGCAATTACTTTTGTGTTATATACATATTGAACTGAAGGAAATGTTATGTTTTTCTTTTGTTTTTCTACTTTAGCTGCCACATACAGTATATTAGTAGATACAGTGATGATAATCAGGAGGTTCATTGCAAGTCATTCTGCGATGAAAGGCATTCTAAGTTGCAATGTTAAATTAAGAGCACTGTTGGAATTCCATTAAATGTTTGGATGCACCATTAAATTCCATTCCTTGTATATCATTCGTTTATTCATTTTTTTAATAAGATATGAGAATTCAGTATGCTCTTAGCAATTAACGGATTGTGGGTAAAAATCAAATAGTATGTAATTCTGGAATAATCAATTTACCTCCCATCTCCATGGATTGAAGTCAAGGGGATCTTTATATTTGGCAAGGTTCAAGTGTATAGATGGAGGATAGACCGTAACTGCCCAACCAGCTGGAATGGTATAGCCAAGGTTGTTAAGATCGGGATCCTACATAGGATCGTTTTGGGGGTCTGGAGGATCGGATCGTAGGATCGGATCGGATCGGGGATCGTAAGATCCTACTAAAACGATGAAAAAATGCAATAATTCTTATATGTCTAACGAATACTATCAAAATACATATAAAATGACCCAAAAAAACTTGAGAATGTAGCTCAAATGGTAGAGCTCTCATACTTATGAGCAGATCGAGGTTCAAACCCTCGCATTCTCACTTGTGTGCCTTGTTCACTAACAATAATCAATTCAAATATACATTTTGCACATTTTTTTAAACAAAGAAAACATAATAAAAGAAGGTGGCAATTCAAGTTGTCATTCAAACATTTTCCTCAAATCTTAACAAAAGAACATATTAAAAGAAAATAGCAATTCAACTTCAAGTCTTCAAGTTAACACTTGCAGAACATTGATATCCTTAACAAAACAAACTAAAATAAGAGAAGAATAAATAAACAAGAGACTAAAATAAGTCATCATCTTCATCGCCGAAATCATCATTGCCACAATCAACAACATTGTTGATCTTATTGTCTCCCTCATCTTCATCATCACCCACAGTATCACCCAACTCCTCAATGTCATCATCACCAATAGTAGCATCATCAAAGTCATGATCAAAATCCCTTGGAGCATTCATGTTGTCATCCATATCATCATCATCACTTACTTCATGAATTTCACCAACATTTTCTCCAATATGGTCATGGCCTAAGTTAGAGTTAAAAAAAAAAAATCCAACTTAAATCCAAATTGCAACTTCTAATTAAAACTAAAAGATGTATCATGTACCTAGACTTACATGCTTGTTCCAAATCCCTTGCAAGAGCATCTACCTCCTCATCTTCTGAATGACATCCATGTCGAGCATTCCTATCAAGCACACTCAACCAATTTCCTTCTCTTGGAAGAGTCGGCTTCTCTCTCTCTGTTATCCACTCATCGTCTGATGGAACATCATCCAAACATAATGGATTCATGATTGCTTGTCTATTCTTGTGCCTTTGTCTCAGTTTCAAATTGTACATGACAAAGACCAAGTCATTCATTCTCCTTTGGTGTAAACGATTCCTTCGCTTTGAGTGTACCATCTCAAAAGCACTCCAATTGCGCTCACTCCCCGATGAACTGCATGTTAGACTTAATACCCTAATTTCAAACCTCTTCAACTCAGGACATTCATCACCAAAAGAGTCCCACCAATCCCCTACATCAAAATTTTAATTAAGTAGTTCAAAATTTAAAGTTCTTCAAAACAAATAATCATAACATAAGATTGATACAACTTACAAATCAACTTAAGTTAGGGTAAAAATAAATAACCTGGAGATTTCTTTTTTCTAGTCAAGATTGCATTTTGTATACCAAATAGTCCTCTTGCATTCTTGAATGCATCAATTTGCAAATCTATCTTCACCCTCTCATTAGTGTCAGGGACCATTTTTTCAAGACATTTGTACAACCCAATTTTAATCTCTGCATCAGCTTGAAAATTGGGACTATAATGAAGCTGAGGGTTCAAGAAGTATGCTGCAGCATGCAATGGGTGATGGAGTTGGGTTTCCCATCTTCTATCAATGATGGCCCATATAGGATCATAGCTGACACAATTTAATAAATATTATTAATGAATAAATAAAAAGTTTAGGGAAATCGTATTAAAGAGTAAATAAATAGCCAACACTAAATAAAAAGTTTACCATCTTAGGACATTATTGAAATTCTTTTGAATTTCCTCTTTCGCACGATCCATTGCTTCATAAATGAATCCCATTGCCGGATGCTCATATGAATCCACCAACCTAAGTACCTTAATGAGAGGTACTGCAGCCTTCAAGCAGGTAGAAACACCCTTCCAAAAATATCGATTGTCCAAAACAATATTTTCAATTTTTTTCCCCTTTTCAGACTTCGCAAATCTACTATTCCTCCACTTGTTTGATGTAAATAGAGAGAACAATGCACCTTTTTGCTCATGAAGACGTCTCAATGTCAAGTAAGAGGTAGCAAACCGAGTTACCGCAGGCCTTATAAGTTCAATGTCTTTTGTAAACTCCTTCATCTAATGAATAAGATTGGTTCTTGAATAAATGTATGCCACAATCTTTTTTCCTTTACCAATTGTAACACGATGAACTTGTATTTCCTTCTCAAAATCTTCTAACATCAAATCTATGCAATGGGCGGCACAAGGAGTCCAAAACAAGCCTTTTCTTTTATCCATTAACATTTGTCCCGCCAATTTATAATTAGAAGCATTGTCAGTTACAACTTGTACAACATTTTCTTCTCCAACCTTCTCAACAACCTCATCTAACATCTCAAAAACCTTTTCACCTGTTTTTGAAATGTCGGATGTATCTAGTGATGACAAGAAAATAGTTCCATTAGGGCTATTCACAAGAAAATTACATATGGATCTTCTCTTTCTATCTGACCATCCATCCGACATAATTGTACATCCGGTCTTCTTCCATTGTTCCTTAAACTCATCAACCAATTGTAGTGTCTCATGCACTTCTTTTTTTAAAAATGTCACCCTAATTTCATGGTAAGATGGTGGCACAAGTCCTTTTCCATAATCCCCAATCTTCTTAACCATGAGTGGAAATATAGGGTTGTTCACACAATTAAAAGGAATTGCACTAGTGTAAAAAAAACGAGCTATGGTTTGACAAACATCATCTCTCTCTTCTTTCTTAAACATTTGATTGAGAGTTTTTTGATTTTGACGTCCAGATTTCTTCATCACAAATTTATCCATGGCACCCACCCGTTTTTGTTTGTTTTGATGATGACATGATAATAGTTCCACCTCCTCTTCAGAATCATCACCAACATCAAACATCTTTCTCTTTTTATTTTAAGACTCTAATGTTTGAGTTCTTAAAAGACTCATGAACTTTCCTCTAACATCTTCTGGGACTTGAGGACATGGCTCAACATTTTGATGAGTACAAGCTAAATGATGTTTTAATCTAAATATACCTCCCGATCGAGTCACGTTACAATACTTGCATTGTACCTTTTTGGTTGTAGCATGTATTTCAATTCCAAGTTCCCAACCAGGATCCGTTCGGTTACCCGCAACATTTTTCCTCTTCCTCCCTCTTCCAGAACCAGAGGCAGACATTGTTAACTCAATTCACAAACCTACAATCATATATTGAATAACACTGAATCAATTTACTACAATTTACAATTTGATAGTTGTGAAATATCAGAGAGAAAAAAGTCAAGTTACAGTAAAAAATAAATTGATTACAATAGTAATACCATGATGCCCTACAAAGGCCTCATTGAAATTATAGATAAGGATAAATTAGAATTTAGAAGTTAATTTACAAATGAAAGACTACATAATCATAAGCAACTTTAGCTTATGTTAATAAAAAGACAGAGCAAACATTGAATCAACTCACTAGGTAATCTAAAGTCATGTTACAATTTACAAATTAATTGAGAACAAACCTGTATGAAGCTGCACTTTTCCTTGGTGGTATCTACGCACTTTTCCTTGGTGGTATGGTATCTGCAAAAATAAATTACAAGTTCAAAATTAGGTTGACAGGAAAATGGAAAAATGGAAGAAGGGGAAAAATGGAAGAAAAAGGGGAAAGGGGGAAAAACAAAAGGGGAATGAAAGACAGAAAAATGGAAGAAGAGGAAAAAAAAAAACAGTAGCAAAGGAAAAAGAAGATGGAAGAGAAGAAGAAAAGGAGTCGAAGAAGACGAACAGAGGAGAAGAAGGAGTCGAAGAAGACGAACAGAGAAGAAGAAGGAGTCGAAGAAGACGAACAGAGGAGAAGAAGGAGTCGAACAGAGGAGAAGAGAAGGAGTCGAAGCACAGAGAAAAATGAGCCGAACAGAGAAGAAGAAGAAGAAGAAGAAGACGAAGAAGAAGAAGCATACCCGGAATCTGGATGGAGGCTGGATGGAGGCTGCTCAGCTCTCGTGACCAACTTTCCCCCAATATTTTGCCCTAATCTCATGTCGTGGACTCGTGGGTCTTTAGAAAATGCATCAAACCTGTAATAAAAATATCAGAAAAAAGGCCAAAAGTAGGATTGTATATTATCGCGATCCAAATACGATCCTACGATCCCACGTACGATCCTGCAACGATCCTGAACAAAATACGACTCATTATGCGATCCAGATCGATTCTCCAAAAGTGGATCGTAGGATTGTACGATCCTACGATCCGGATCGCGATCTTAACAACATTGGGTATAACCTGCATTTATCCCAATTTTTATGTTAAGGTATGTCAAATTAGATGTATTTTTCTTTGTAGGAATAAATTCAAAGCTATTGGCATTGATAGAAATTGACCACTTAATTGTATATGTACATACCTTTATAATTAATTTCTTTTAGTGCTTTTCTGAAAATTGCTGGAACTATATTTGTGAGCCTGACTGTTTCATTAATGAACTGTAATTTTACTTTAAAAGTTAGCACTAAGATAACTTCTATAGACTTATGAGAGAAAAAAAACCACCTGGAATGTAAATGTCATTGATTTATCCAGAATTTAGCTGTGTTTGGAAATTCAGCTCTAACTCTTTTTCGAGCTTCAAAAGGAAAGGCTCATATTTGAAGTTTTATAGTTACTTCTTTCAAAAAGAAAGGCTTATTATTGATGTTTCATTTTCTGGATTTTACAATGAAACCAAGACCAAGTGGGGTTGAGTTTTTTTTCTTGTTTTGAGAAGTTTTATTTATTTTCTAGAGTTGAGTTTAGTTATATGAGTTTGCAATTCCTAGTCTTATTTATTTATTTATTTATGTTCTCCAGGATTTTTAAGCATTGATAATGTCAGAATTTAGAGCAACATTTTTTTCTTTGATCTTTATTACCCTTGTGTAGGTTTTGTTGCTGGAGCGTTGTTGCTATTGGAATGCTGCTGCTGCTGGAGTGCTGCTACTGTAAGAAACTTGTAAAGACTTAAAGTTGAAATGTCAAAGAATGCTCTTTGTTGAATTGGAAGCTGAAATGCTAAAGAATGTGCATTGGGAGTTTAGTGTGTTTTGCTTCTAGTTGAATTAAGCCTTACTATGAACATCTAACTACTTTAATAATTTTGTGCAATTCATTTATGATGTTCAGAATTACACAGATAGATACTTTGACATACATGTGTATTTAGAGTGAAGTCATCCATATGTGGGTTTTGGTTGGCAAAGAGTTTTGTGACATGATTTTGTTGGTTCTATCTTTAGGATCATTGCTGTGCATTTTGATTTGTTATAATTTTTTTATTTTTTTGTGCGCGCTACTGTTGGGATAAACATAGGTAGCTCTGTATTAGTGTTGGTTGGTAGAGATCAACAAACAATTCCTTCTTTATGTCCTGATGCAATTTAATGTGGGTCTTATAACACTTTCTTCAAACAGATTCTTTCACATTTTATTTCTTCAAACAGGTTCTTATAACATTGTAAACAGGCTCTTATAACATTATAGGGGAGAGAAAGAGAGATGTTAGTAATTTTTTTTTAATCTGCCACGTTCTTCTACGTGTTTTTTTCAATTATTAAAACTTATTTGATTGTCTCAAAATTATATATTTTATTATTTTAAAACAAATTTTTTAATTAATTAATTAATGTGTATTTGGTTTTGTTATTGAACCAAATAAAATAAAATAAGATTGAATGCATATTTAGCTTTTGTTGTGAACCTTTACAAAAAAAAAATTAAAAAAAAAATAATTATATAAAAAATTAAATGTATATTTAGCTTTTGTTGTGTATCTTAAAAAATAAAATAAAATAAAAATGGAGGTCAAAGTGGGTTGGGGAAAATCTAAACCCATTAGGAGATGGGAGGGTGGTACCCATGAGGAATCAGAAATGGGGAATGGGAAAAATTTATTATAGGGGAACGGAGATGGAGAATCAATATCCGCCTCATTAATCTCCCATTGCCATCCCTATCTGTGAGTCCAACCATACTAATTTCTGGGTGAGTGAAAAGAAAACACCATTCCAAATAAACCATAGAACCTAAAATGTTGTATTTACTTGCATGTAGGATACGTTTCTGAAGGTAATTATGGATGGAAATTTGTAGTAGTCCATTTGCCAGTTTCTTTGCTTATCTTAATCCCACTTGCAAAGCACCTTTCATAGCAGCATCCATGAGACCTAGACCAGCCCCTGTCCATGAAGTACAATTCAAGAGAATTGCAATCTGTAGAAAGTAATAAGTAGGCTCATACAATCCATATAAATTTTGGGCTGAAAAAATTGAATTCTACAATGTATCTTGTGTTGTTCACTTGCAGTTCCACACTCCATATACATCTACATGAATAAGTATATACATGGAAGGTTAACCTCTTTCCCAAATTCCAATGCTTGCAAGTAATGCGGATGAGTTGGTCTCATCCTCGAAGAACCCAAATACACGACTCCCTTTCCTAGCCTGTGAATGAGCTCATAGCACCGTTCTATCTCTTTTTTGACCTTTTATCAATGAGTTCATATTAGTGAACGAGTTCTTGACAGATTTCATTAAATTGAAGAGTATGTTCCATGTTTACAAAAAAAATGGTTAATATAGCCAGATGAAGTAGCACCACGATGCCATGTATGAGCAAATTCAACCAATCGTTTTTTAGGGATTCAAGAAGTTATGATATCCACTATGAATTAGAATGCTGATTCTTAGAAAATGAAGCTGGAACACTAAAACTTCACCAATGTCCTCATTTCATCTCTTCCAAAACCTGGTGTAGTTCATAGGCATTATGTGATGCATCAGAATTTTGATAAAACAAATGTAAAACATAAATTCTTGAGGTGTTGCAAAACAGAGAGAAATATAGAACATATAAAAAATAACTTCATCTTACAAGCCATTTTTGAAAAAAATAAATTATCGTCTCAAGCACATTCAGCAAGAATGACAAGGTAGTAGATTTTACAGACAGGTTTCAACAAAATATTATATTCATGCCACTTGTTAAGGGTGAGCTCCCTTCAATATTTACCTCTCCAGCTCATATAATAGCTTCTCCACCAGGATTTGTCAAACTTGAACAGGAAGACAAAGGAAAATTCTGAATTTCTAGTCCATCTTCAATATCCCAATCAATGTTGTCACTCTCTTCCCCAGAGGCATTCCCACCCTACAAATTAGGGGTGAGCAGCGGATATACCGATCCGCTAAAACCGACCGAACCGAACTGATCCGCAACATTTTGGACGGATGCGTGATGATGAGCGGATGGTTGCGGATTGATTTTCTCCAATCCACCAATTTGGCGGACGGATGGCGGATTTGAGATTTCTTTTGGCTGCAACCGAACCGCCAAACCGCGAGCACCCCTAGTAATTTATAGGAGTTTGTGTTTTCAATTTGTTTAAATATTATGTTTGTGTTTTCAATTGAAAAATAGTTTAAATATTCTATTGAAAAAAAGTTTTCAATTTGAATATATTTTTTGAATTGAAAAAAATAAACGTATTATTTATCTATATTTTTTGGTTTTTAAATCTAACTATAAAAATAATAAATAGAAAATATGATATATGCTGGTTGGTTATTGTTTTCAAAAACATATATAGATGTAACAATACAGAAACATACAATCTCTACTACTACTCTGTTCATGGTTTTGGTGGTTTGAATTGTTATTATATTTTAAGAACCACAGATTGTAATACTTTATGTGGATGAATCATGCTGTAATTGTAATATGTGGATGAGGCATGCAGTGATCGTGATATTCTAAAGTTTTAAACTTCTTTCTTTAGATAAAGCATACAGTGATTGTAATATTTTTTTAAGTCATTGACTGTAATACTTTTTTTTTTTAGAAAGTGCATAAGTTGAAT